GATTCTACGTACGTTTCAGTCCCCTCGACCAGAATATTGTGTTCCCCATTCTGAGCTTTCCCAGGAACTCCGAACATTGTTTCTAGAGATCAAAAATCATTATGAAATTATGTCCTCAATAATAATAATGATAATTATGAATTACTAATTCATGCCCGCGTTGATAATTAAATTTCCAATGAAAGGTTTCACTTTACAATAGCTGTCCACTTTACAATAGCTTGTACCAAAATCTTTTAATATGACAATTATGTTTAATAGGATAATAATCTTGTTTAAAAACTTGCCGAACACAATGTCTGCTACACATGGAACAATTGCATGATGAACATCGAATTCCCCAGTTCCGACCTTATCCGCCATTTTCTTTATCATAATTTTGGTTTGATAATTGAATTGCTTGATGTGTTCTGTTATTAAATTACCCCCATTTATGAGGGGTACCACAAGCTTCTTGTGTGCTCGATAGACTGGCCCTGGAGAATATTCTTTAAATTAATTACTCCAAATTTTGCAAGTTTTTTATAGATTTTTTTTTAGTAGTTGAATTTATTAAAAATAAATTTTCAGGGTAAAGGTCAAGGTCAAGAAGAACAGATGAATTTGATCCTAAAGAATAATTTTTTTCTCTGTGTTTGGTAATTTATCATTAATTTTTTATAAATAATACCTCCCCCATTTATGAGACTATTGATAACTGCCGGCTTCATGAAATCGTAGACGGTATCCTTTTCAGCTGCCTTCGCACTTCCCATTATAATCTGAATGAAATTTCGAAATATAATAATTATTTTATCATAATGACTAAATAGGCAGTCTAATAATAAATCAGGAAATTAATTTTCAATACATTTTTCCTTTAATCAAACAAAGAGTTTGGGCGCTTCCTCAAATATCCCACAAAAAACGGAACTCCAATTCTAGAGGATGTTTCCCAAGGCAGGAAATTCAATTTTTAGAAATTATTTTATTTACGTTCGATTTTTTCATTGTGTAATAGGTTTCATCATTTACCTCAAAATCCCTCGGATCAGTAACGATAACTTTCATTATCGGTCCCAGCCAAATTTTGAAAGTCCCAACATTGATATCTTGGCTCATTTTCGCGAGGGTAAAAATCGTTTCTGAAACAATGCACGTTAAAAAGTTTATTGTTAAAATTACCATGACGTGAAGATGACAATTGTTTTTACAAATACTCAAGTATTTTTATCGAGCTTTCACTAAACCAATGTTGTTTTTTTCTCAGACTCAAGCTAGGCTCGGAATGCGATGTACATCGCGATCTATCATCTGGGTAAATGTCAGAATTCATTTTTAATGCGTGTAAAATTTTCCAAAATTTTACATACTACCAGTGTCGGCAAATTGGTGTGCATTTCCGACCAGTGGAATTCCAGGGGGTCCGCGTAGTGAAGCCGAGCATTTTAGAATTTCCTTCCGAAAGATGATGTATTCCTGGATTTCCTTCCGATATCGAATGACCCATAATACTGCGATAGTACCCAGGAGGTAAGCTGAGCAGCAAAACATCCATCAATTAACCACTTACATTTATTAAAGATGTTCGCCCTTTCCGCCAAAAAATTTATTATAAAATTGACATGAAAAAATATACAGCGTTTTTATTTTTTATTATTATTTAATGTCTCGCGAAGTTTCGTTACTGTAGAACAATTTTCCGACGTTCTCAGTGAATTTTTGCAAATGTTCCCAAAACTTGACGAAAAATTAAAAAAAATAGAAGCATCACTGTCAGAATTTGTGAGTCATTGAATAATGATTAAACCTATGGTATATTTTTTGACGTCAATCTGATCCGGGGTTCCCAGAAATTATGAAAATTAAGTCTTCACCCTGAAGAACTACTCTCACCCATCCACAATGAATTCAACATGGAAATGCCAGAGCCAGTCGTCAGAAATGTCCACCTCATTTTTGCTACACCAAAATAATTGCTTTACCGATGCACTAAGGATCGTTCATCCTTCTACGGATCATTGAAATTTTGCTGATTCTTATAGTCCTACTACTCTTATTATATGAGACTTAATCCCTTCCTCATCCTCAAAATACCCGAGGAAGGATTGCGTTAATGTGTATATCATTACGCACCGATCATTTACAAGGCCGGTGCATGTACTATTGAGAGAAAAATCACCATGATATCACATAAATTATTTTTTCAGCGAAAAACATTGCATTGATTTTTTGTCAATTGATCGTGGATTCCAAACAAGAAGTCATCGCTCTTCGGACTACATTTAGGAAAAAAATTATTCCTTCAATTTAAATATTACTCTGTTCTACCCTCTAAGGTGATTCACTCCTGCCATTAAAATTGACTTTACTCCATTAAATGTATTTAAATAGTTGCGTTTCTACTTTTCTAGAAAAAAAATATAATTTACCCAAAGGTGATGAATATGAAAAACTTGATCGATTATCATAAAAAAGTTGATTTTCCTCTTGAAATTGTCACACGGACATTTCGTTGCTGATCCGAAGTTGATATCAATACTCCATCAGTAAAAAATCCAACAATCTCATGTAAAATGTAAATCATGTAAATTTATTTGAAGCCTTTGTCGCCAAGTATTACAACAAAAATAGTGGCAAAAAGTGGAAAGACCTTTTCACGTTTTTCTTCAACATATCACGCAAGTTATTTTGACGTCATTCAAATTTTCGTGCGACAATGAATGCGCACGCGTCTTACCGTTTGAGGGCGCTACACACGACAATTGAACGAAAAAAAAATTAGTAAAAGTTCAAAGTCCAATTGTTATTGCTGGTTATTGTCCGCACACCGGCTTTAGTTCAATTCATCGAGACCTGATAGTGCTCCATCATCCTCCAGAATCAGCGCAACAGTCACCTAATTTCAACGACTAATTAATTACCATCAAATCTTATCTACAATGCTGAAGGTACTTATCATTTTTTGCTCTACGTGTTCCCATCAATGAGAATCGCAAAAATTTTATAACGTGGTTCAAAGGTCAATGTAGAATGTCAGTCTTATCAAGATTCGGGTATTTTCATGTTCTGATGGAAAATTTTCATCATGTTTTCATGTGTATTTATTAATTTTCATTGATGAATCAAGAACGTGGTGGCTCTGGTTACTGGAGGTGCATCCGGTCTGGGTCGTGGTACAGCTGAGAGATTTATCAGAAATGGAGCAAAAGTTGTAGTTGCTGATTTACCCTCGTCCAAGGGCAACGAAATTGCTCAAGGGCTGGGGGAGAATGCAGTGTTCAGTCCCATGGATGTAAGAAAATTCAATTTTATTTATAAATTCAGAATACTAGCTTAAGGGGCCTTAAATCATCGTAAGATCAAAATTATCTTACTGAACTAGTTCCCACAACCTCGGTCGATTATTTATGAAATTCATTATTTTTTCTTCATTAAGATCACTTCGGACTTATGAATATTTAAAAAATGTCCCAAACGTCACAATTTTTCCTCACCTCCTCCTGTAATAGATGATAGATGAATCTTTGTAGATTTTTAAATTTTTTTTACGAGAATGTTAAGGTGCCAGAAAAGTTTCCTGGAAATTTTTCCGCTCTGAAATTCCAACACGTTCATCAAAAATTGCAAATTAAATTCATGTATGCCGTAATGTTATCGCACACCCATTTACAATCTTATTAACTTCAACAGCTCCAAGAGTCATTATGTAACCTCAGAAATCAGTGACATGTACAATGATGAGATAATAACTATAACAGTTATCTATCATGCGTAGCTAGTTATGACTTTTTAATTGGAGCAAAAAAGTTGAAAGTAAAATAATACTTCAATTTTAAAAACAACTCTCAATTCAAGCCAACTACCGACATAACTGAAATACATCCATCACTCCCCATTTGAATAAAAAGTCTCAAGAATGATTGGGAAGGCGAATTCTCTAAAATTCAAGTTTCTCTAAAATGAATAAAAAATGAAAATATTCTCTGTAGCTGTTGTGGGGAAAATTCCTGTCGAATGTCTTCTTTTTTTAATAATATAATACAATTACTTCCATAAATTGCACAGGTGACGTCCGAGGCAGACGTCCTTCAAGCCCTGGACGTGGCAAAGGAGAAATTCGGTCGATTGGACGCAGTTGTAAACGCTGCAGGTATAGCAGCTGCAATCAAAGTCTACAACTTCAAGAAAGTTCACGCCCATGACTTGGAGACATTCTCACGGGTCATACAAGTGAATACGATTGGAACTTTCAACGTCATTCGCCTGTCAGTTGGATTGATGGGTACAAACGAGCCCAACGCTGATGGACAGCGTGGAGTGATTGTAAATACAGCAAGTGTTGCAGCATTTGATGGTCAAATTGGACAGGCAGCTTATTCTGCCAGCAAAGCAGCAGTCGTTGGTATGACGCTGCCTCTCGCCCGTGATCTCTCCATCCAGGGTATCAGAGTCTGCACCATTGCCCCCGGACTCTTCGACACACCAATGCTTCAGGGCTTGCCGGACAAAGTACGTAATTTCTTGGCTAAAAGCATTCCATTCCCCCAGAGACTTGGAAAGCCTGACGAGTACGCGCAGCTGGCTGAGTCCATCATCTTGAATCCATTGTTGAATGGAGAGACCATCAGACTTGATGGAGCCCTCCGGATGCAGCCATAAATAGGCCATTGCTGTTTGAAACTAATTTGTTACATTTTTTATATATCTTTTTCTATGCAAATGGAATAAATTTACCGAGCTAAGCTCATATTTTACAAGTGATACATTTGGCTTTGTTTTATTCTCAAATGAATATGAGAAAACACTGAGAAAATTAAACGACGGGGTGGCAGAGTGATATGAAATTTTTTAAAATTTGCATTAACTAATCAGCTGATTATCAGATTTATTATCTAGGGCAATGAAAAACCTTGAAATTGTTATAAATTTAGGTATGGTCTTCCCTGAAATTTGAATGAATGTCAAATACTTGGGTTGTTATTTTTTAATAGGAATGGATATAATAATGTCAACTAAAAGAAGGAATCCGGTGATAGCGAGAGGAGCGTATATAAGGCATTATTAAAAGGTGAATTACTCATATCAATTTTCTCCATGACTTTAATTAACGTGGGATGGATTTAATGATAGTTATCTCTATACATCCAACACCAGTCTCGGTTCTTCTCTGATTACACATTGATCAATGGGCACAATGATTTATCGAGGCCATTTATCGTCTAACACAGGTATCGACAATTCACTTTATTATCTTACGACTGTACAGTAATATATTTCCTCTTTTTTTCGTTAGTTCTTACTCGTCTTCGTTAATGCTCCAGTATATTTATGATGGCAACCGCGCAACTTGGTTTCTTTTTTTATCCAGTGTATTTAATTTTAAATGTTCCACGCGAGTGACACTGCAAAATGATGGCAACGATTATCCGATTAATCCGTAATTTAGTAGAGTCACTAAAGTATAATATAGCCTAGCAAAAAGTTGTGTACATAACAATATCAACATAAAAATTTTAGTCGACAAAATTGTGGGTTGTTGTTATTAATCTCATCATTTTTGATGGATTGCGCAGGCCCGCAAAAGTTTTAATTGCTTGGATTTGGAAAGGTATAACTTCGAAAAAAAAATGTCTCGAAAGATCAGCTCATAGTTATTATCGATCATCCATTTATCCAGGGTGATAATATCGTTATATAACGTTAGTCTTTGTTTCCAATAACCTCCGGAGATTTCCAAAAATCCAAGAGATGTTGAAATTTATTTTGATGATTTTTCGGAAGAGCCAGTTTGTTATTTAAGGCAGGATACTCATCTTCTCCGAGGTCTAGTCAATCCTAGGCATTTGATTCTTTGAGATTCTGTAATTTTTCCAATTGATCTGGTTGTAATTCATCTGGAATACTGGCACGTCCACCAACGAGCATCTTCTCTGGTATAATATCAGGCTGTTCATCGCTCGTTTCCAATTCAGTCTGTATTTCGATAACAGTACGACGTGAGGGTAATGACTGTGAATTATCGGCTGTACTTGGTCCTGATGTTGAATCTCCATCAGATCCAGAACTACTGCTTACCGGAAATGGTGCCGAATCCGCTGGCAAATCATCCACCGTTGATTTCTCCTCAACTTCCTCGGTGTTGTCGTCAGTCGTCTCTTTGGTCACCTCCTCTTCACTCTTCATCTCGACCTTAGTCTCCATCTCTGATTCTGTACTCTCTGGCTCCTCTGTTGTCTCGGCCACATCCTCAGGGGGATCCTCACCATCACCTGGAAATGGATGTTCAACTTCCTCCATAGGTGTTGCAGCTGTTATCACAATCTGTGCAACACCCAAACCAAAATCATCATCCTGACCTTCAGACTTCATCTCTTTCCTCGTTTTAGGCGCTATGTCACGCTCGACCTCTTCACCTTCCTGTTTGACCAATGTAAAACATCTTCCATTATTTATTCATTCGTTTTTACCTTCAACCTATTAATTATGAATATTTTTTTTTTCCAATATCTTTTTTAAAAAAATATTAGTATTATGTATGCGAGAGTAATTATCACACCAGCAATTTACCTGTTCGCCGGACTCGTCCGATACTTGTACGACTGCACGATGAGATTGGTTTATAAGCATATTTATGAGTTTCTTTTGGTGCACAGCGAAGGGGTTGGGGGAATTGTACTTACCAATTATTCCTGGCGGCTCCGTCTGGGGACCATTGAATTGCATACCGTATTGGTCCTTCTGGATTTTCGGCAAGTTTATTGCAAATCCATCAGGGGCTTCGCCGTTTATCAGTGGTGGCTTGTCTTCGTCTGATTCTGCCAATTTTCGTTATTCTTAGTTAATTCACAAAATCAATCGGATGAAACAAATTAGTCGGAAAACCTACCGAATTCGCTGGGAAATTCATCAGGAATCGTCAATAGAATTCGATTTTTCCGCATTTCGTTTATACCGAAAATCGTCAATTTTCGAAATAATAAAATAAAAAAAAAACGTGGAAACGTTGGGACCATAAAATATTCAAAGACAATCTTTTGAACAGAAAAATCGAATTCTTTTAATTTTTCCTATCGAACGTTTCAGGAGGATTAGCAGAAAATTATCAAGAAGTTTGAGAGAAATTCAATAAAAATTTCTCATAAATTCGCCAGAAAATTTCGTCGATGGAATTTTTTCATACTTGCAATTCACGATGAAATCAATGACGGAGAGATAAAGAAGGTTGATATGCTTATCAAAAAGTTGAAAAGTTTTTTACAATGTCGATGCATAAAAAGAAAAAATTGTTTTGCTCTCATCATGTTTCACCAGTCCCCCCATTACAATGATTCCCTCCAATATTAATCCTTGATTTATAATAAATTAGCATTTCCAAGGAATAGAATTCCATTAAAAACATGAATAAACATGAATGGAGAATGAGTCCTTGAATGAAGAGAGAAGAGTTTTGCTTCACGAGCAATGAATGTTCTTAGAAAATAAAAATCCCTTCATCTCTGTCAATTACCATTAAACATGGCTCGTGTTATCTCATCAGCTAGAACAAAATCGGGAACATCAGGTGGTGTGAAAACTGGGGGTGCAGAGCTGGGGGGCGTTGTCTCCTCCTGATATAATGGAATAAGAATAGATGAGTCAATGATATATTGTGATGATTTAAAAATAGTTGAGAGTAATACCTGTGGGGTCAATGGAGAGCCATCGAGGGCGCACGGTTCGACGACCAGAGACGGGAAAAGGCCTTTTTGCCCACGCAATTCACCTTCCCACCAGCCATCATCCACGTCGTGCGGTTCTGTTTTCAATACCCTCAGTATATCACCCTCGAGGAACGTCAATTCTTCATCACAAGTTGCGTCATAATCGTACAGGGCGATGCAGTACACTTCCGTCGATTCAACGAGATTATCTACCTGTTCTGGTACTTGATTAACTGCTGTTGTATGAAGATGTGCGTCTGAATAACAATTACAATTATTCGTGTGTTAATTACTGAGTCGAATTATTATTACTCGATAGATTATTTGGGATAAGAAAGATTACAATTACAGACGATTATCAAAAAAATTTTCTATGTTTGTTTGCAGCTCCCAGGATTTTTTATTTCATCAAGACCGATCCCTTGAAAATATAAATGTAATTCCGTCGATGGGAGATCCTCCCATCAGTGAATAAATGAAAAATATGAATTAAGAACTTTACCTGGATCGACAGCGTCATGATCATCAATAGTGTAATCGACGGAGGAGAAAGAAATTTGAGTGACAAGTCCAGGACCATGTGAAATAAGCCCAGTGGCAGTTGCTGATTCTCTCTCCACATCCAAGTAATTTTGGGGTACAAAGCCCTCTTCACCTCGATAATTACGAGCTCGTAGCCAGCCATCTCCATCACCCTCGCCAACTACCTCCAACTGCTCGCTCTCGACGATCGATAGTTCATCGGGATTTTGCGCCTGAAAAGTTACAAAAAACGTCGTTTCAATTAAAAGTGAGAAATACAACAGATACACGTGGTGACTATCACACCAGCTTTTACCAACGAAGCAGAGCAGTAAGTTCGATTGCGCTAATAACTTTTAAAAGTTACGGTTCATTTTACAAGCCATTCTTCGAGAAGGAATAGTTTTTCTTGACAGAAAAAGTCAGAGGGCAAGGCTTGGCATCTAAATTAATTGAATTTCCTTGAGCAAAGTTTTTCGGACAGAGTAAATAATGGGACTAGCTGCTCATAAATATTTTCGAGAGGTCATCGAAGTTCTGGTTGTGTTTGAGTTTATACAGTTTTTCTTCAAACTCTTTCGGGGTAAAAAATAATACAACTTACTGTGTATGAGTATAGCGCAGTGCACTTGTATAGTTGTGGCTGTTGGCCAGTGGTAATGACTTCTGAAGGCTCTGGAATTTCATCTTTGTCGTCAGTTCCCCAGTCTATTGATGTTGGATCGTCCCAGTCTGCGGCCATCTGTTCTATCCGCTGTTTTTCTTGTTCCAGTAGCGCTACAGCACGTACAAACAATTTAATTAATTCCCTTGTCGAAATCATTCCAGTGAAATTGAAGAATTACCGTCGACTTCAGCACTGTCGTGCCTCTCCCTCTCGTCTCTCTGATCGTCCTCGTGGTGTTCAGATACATGCCTGCCACTTCCTGGTCTCTCTACTGTCGTCAGATCACTCCCAGCGTCGTTGTCACTATCGTAGAATGAATCCGAGGATGGATGTTCCTGAAATCATTGAATTTCCAGAACGATGTGAGAATAAGATTATTTCTACATTTCATTTTTATTTCCCAAAAAAAAAACATTTCTTGGATAGTGACACTGAATACTGAAAATTTATGAAGCTTTCACAATTTCAAAGGGCATGAGTTTTGGGGACTTAATTATTATCTATAGAACAAATATATGTCAAAATTCATATTTGCGAAAAAATTACTCTTCTCAAAAATAAAGCTGGAATAAATAATCGTTATAATTACCGCTGCACCAGAAGCATCAGTTCTCACTGACAATGAACTCGCTGATCGTGGCATATCCTGAACACTGAGAGTCTCCGCCTCCTGGAGGAACTCATCAACATTCACTCCACCTAATCGCAAGCACTCGATCCTCGCCTCGGCCTTCATTTTAGCAGTCTGATTCATAAATTGAAATAATTGATTAACTCCCAAAAATACCGACATCACGCCTGGATTCGAAATTTTGACGGCTTAGTATTTTTATTAAATTGGGAGCACTAATTGGGGTTTTGCTATTTGATCTTTAATTATAATTTATCAAACTACACTTATGTGGATATTGTAAAAAGAATGAACATGCATAAAGCGCTTTCAATAATTAAAGCGAACACTAGAGGAAAAATTAATTGAATAAAAATAGAAATAGATTAAGTCATTAGCTCTTTAATTACTCTATTCGAAGTCTTGGGGGGCATTTTCAGGTATTATTAAAAGGGAATTGGCTAGTACCTCGGCTCGACGTGCTGTGTGCTTCAGCTCGTCGATCTTGGTGTCTAGATCGGGCCCATTGGGATCGTTGGGATCGCTCTGGAATTAAACGAGTAGATTAGGGATCATTAATTGATTTAAATGGGCACTTGGACGATACCTTGTGTCCTGACTCCTTGAGTTGCAGAAGAACTTGGAGTTTACGGTTGCTCTCGCGAATTGTTGCAACTTCACGGGCAATTCTTTGCGACCAACGGCGAGCTTCTTTGCCAAGTGTCGTCGCAGCGGAGTGATCAGCGGTTACCCTGTCATTAAAAGTAATTAACAATTATCAAAAATCAGTCGATGCGCTCATAACAAAGTATATTGAAATTTCAGGTGAACGAGTCCTTAAAAATGGGGATTTTTCATTTGTTTAAACTCTAAAATTAATGGTGCCAATAAACCAGCAGTAGTTTCATCATTAATATAAGGCAAAAATACCTGTCAATTTGGTCATTATCACACGGCTCAAATTCGTACTGTATATGTTGTTTGAGCGTCGGATAATACAAGTTGCAGCACTGAATATTATACTCCCTCGTCAGCTGTAAGTAAAACAATGAAATAGTGAAAAGTTGATCGGCTGAATTATTAACTGAGACCTTTGAAGCTTAAATCAATGGACGAAAAAAAGGATTGAACACTGAAAACCGACCTGCTGTGCCTGATCCCGAATAGTGGTGAAGCTGTTCTGGGTTGCCATGCAGGTCAGCAATTCAGTGCGTCCCATGAGAGTCAAGTACTCCTGTACTTTGTCATACACCCCCTGTTCAAGATACTGCATGGTGTTCTGCAGGTCAATGGCGAAATAACGATTTTGATGGGCGTTGGCAGCTGCCAGGCTCAACAAGTAATCATTACGGGCACCCGTCGACTTCTCGTCTAGGGCATCTCGCTTCGATGTCACCTGATTTACAAATCAATCAATTCATTGACCCATCAATTTTCATCAATCAAACTTTTCTGATTTAATTCAATTATGATATATTAATTTTAATCACCTTAGCGCTATTTTTTTGTAAAGATGTAATTGACTGGAAGAAGGAACCCTTTTTCTTCTTTAATCTGCGAAGATTTTTTCTGATTATCATGTGTATTACGAGAAGCTCTAATGTTTCATTGTGGAAAATCAAAATATTTATCTTGTTTGATTTTTTTTTGTTTCAGATGCACTTACTTCTCCTCAATATCTTTCGCCTTATCACGTACGTCGTGAGCACTGTGTTCCTCATCGAAATACAATTTCTTCGTTTTATCAACATCCTGCACGCACATCTGCAGTTCCTTTTGTACTATCATCAATTGGTCGATTGCCTTCTTCGATATCTGCATCTTGTGCATTCTGAGGACCTTAGCATCATCGGCAATCTGCTGTTGAAATACCTCAACTGCTGCGAGACGGGCTCGAGCCAATTTCTCGTTCTCTTCCAGGACAGTTCGCCAAACATTCCACATATTCCTATTTTAATGCGCATAATTTTCCTCATTAAATCATTCAACGCGAGAGGAATTTAAATTAAATCATTCGGTTCACCATTTTTCCTCAGCCCCATCGATCTTCAGGTCCGGAATATTTGGTATTTTCTTATTTAAATACGCCGAGGATATTTTGAGCAGTGCCTCGGAGTACGATTTCTCGATTGCTGATTTTTTTAATGTGAAATTCCTGCAAGCCAGTTAATTAGATCATCTAAATGCCGTTTGACTGAGGAAAACGTAAACTCACCGGATGTCCTCTAATAGGTCACACTCATGTTGATTTTTCACCTGCAATTTTGCCGCCTGCTCTGCATGCACATTTTTCAGGAATTTCGCGTAATTCCCCTGGTACAACAATCATCAACTTATCAAAATTCATCAAGAAAATCGCGGAAAATCCGATCGTTATATTGAAGTTCTTATTGCGATCGTGTTCATATAAATAAAACACAATTTATAAATTAAAATGCTATTTTCACCGGACACGTAATGCTTTACGAATTTGAAAGTACTCTGTGAAAATGTACGTTTTTCTTCCTGATTTACTCTTATTAATTTTTGTATCAACCTCGGAAATGTTTGATTAATATATTAAACATGAGAAAAAACAGAAAAATAATTAAACAGATAAGACTAGAAATTTTACTGAAGAAACAACGCAATTCCTATATCTCGTCTATATTTCGGAAGATAACGTTCACGCCATTTTCAGCTAATTTTTGAGACACTTATCGAGTAAAATGGATTGATCCAGCCGACAATGCTCCACTCAATATAAAACCTCAAATACTCATAGGATTTTGCAAACATAATAAAAATAAAAGAAAAATTACAATCTGACTTTAAATTCCAGTAGGAGAAGAAAATGCAATTTCTGCCAATACTTCCGCAAAATGGTATGACACGGAAAACAGCGGTTTCCACAGGATCTGACCTGGTATGTGCTCCACATTTCGAGAGATAATTTTTACATAACTTTTCACTAATTTCAGTCAATTTCATGGCCGTGTATAAAATGGGTTGATCCGACAGGCGGAAATGCTCTCAATAAAAAATATCAAATATTCATAGGACTGTGTTCGTACGCAAGGATCAATGATAATTAAAAGTTAATAAAATCCCTTCGATCGTTTGAAAGACAGTGAAAAAAAGGGTCATAAGCTCTTTGGTGTTCATCGATTTTCTTCGGTTGTGGTGAGTGTGGGCCACGTATAGACTCTCCTAAATCGTGAACACTCTTCCTGACATTTCATGATCGAAAATCGATGAAACGAGAGCTCAATTACAAATGGTATCTCTGAGTTTGAATCAACCCTTACTTTCCTCGGTGGTGGTTGCATGATTGAGCCGCTCGTCAAGCGCCCAATTAAACACTGTTTAAAGGAAAATTTAACACTTAAAAATGATTCGTTAAGGTAAACGCTGCTCACTCGACGCGAATTCGTATGCTACTGGCCTCTTGGCCTCGACTTCGGGTATTTATTGATCGTACCGGCGCAGGCGTTTTCATCCCCCTGGACACACGGGGTTTAACTTGTGCGTCGTGGTCCACCCACTTCCCCTCATTCCACTTTGGAAAATAATACTGAATAACATTGGAAAATGGAAAAATACCGAAAGCAAAGATCAAGTCACAAGTTCTCTGCAAGCTCATTACGCTGACAATAGATTATAACTCAGACTCTTCTTCAACAAATCTATAGCGCTCAAATTTTTTCCCTCCAATTTCCCTCTGGTAAATAAATGGATAGAAAAAAACACGCATCATCATTTATTATCCAAAAGATATCAGACGCTATTTTCAGATCTTAATTGGAATTTCTACAATAAATATTGAATCAATAGGGGACAGTGATTGCTCCTGTTTGATTTTAAATTTGAAAGGTTTATTTATTAAAATTGCAAAAAAATTCAAAACACTTGGATACCTTAGGACTAATTAGCTAGTGATACAGCACCGATATGTGAATTAATAGTAGTAAAAATAAGGATGACTATGTACAGAGGAGAATGTGTTTTTCGTGAGTGGAGATAATTTGTGATGGTGTGAATGTTTTACAAAAGTTCATCAGGCAACAGTCGGCCTAGATCGGCGTCTGGCATGAGGGCCATTGCCCCCTCGCCATCGGGATCCGAGCTAGGCAGCAACACCTCAGGTTGTGGTATCGGTTCAGCCCGTTGTAGCAATGCAATTATCGGATTTCCACCTGCGTCCAAGGCTGGATCGGCCGTTGCTTCCGCCAGATTAGTCACGGATTTTGATTTGACACATTGGAAATCAACGTGTCTACTCTTTGCCTCCTCCTTCTCCCAGGACATGTGAATGAAGGGTCGTTGAACGTAATTGTATATTACTTCGGCTCTGCCACCTGCACGCTTCTTCACTTTTTCCTTGTACGTGGGATAGCCCTCGATTCCCAGGCGTATTTTTTTCAGGCCTCGCTCTTTCATCACCTGTTTCGCCACATCTCGATTTTCGATGTATTTGAAGAAGCGGTACATCGCTGTGCTGTTTACAGCTAGAAAAAAGAACATTTTATTTTGTTAAGGATTTTTAGTGCATAGAGTTGAAGGAGAACTACGTGAAAAGTTGAAATGAATATCAGAAATTTACTCTGAGAATATTCCTCTCCCATCTGTGGTGGATACTCCTCATCCCAATCGACAACGTCATCCTCGAGTAAAACAACAATATGACACTCCCTATCACCCCGCCTCGCACTGTTGACCATCAAGGGTAAAATCAAGTCCTCAAGAAATACCTCGAACTGACATCGAGCTCCTTCATTCGAGAGTTCATGCAGTAATCCTCCTGTAAAAAAATTACTCATCAACCATCTAAATATAATAAACATTCAAACTGCAGTTGTGACACATAAGCAATTTCTAGGAAAAATCAAATCATATAACTATATAACTTACGCAAGTTTTGACACTTGACAGTGTTGGCATCAAAGGGAACGAGCAGATAGTCGCACGCCTCTCTGAGCTCTTGCACCGTTACAGTAGGTGGACAGCGAATAATGCCGCCTTTGTAGTACTCCAAAATAGCCCGAAATACCATAGCTGATATGCCCTCAGCAACTTCGTACTCTCCCCTCTCATTTGGCTGTGCAAACTCAATTCCTGAACTGAACATTCTCCCTAGCATGGTGTTTGGGTGAGCTGTGAAGAGGGCGGGATCCAATATGAATCTCGTATTGTCAACGATTAACGTTATACGATCGTCACTCAGTGTTACGCCTGATGTCACACTATCACGTACCGAGCTCTGCTGCGGGGTTTTATTCATCACGATAGTTCCTGGACGGACTCTAAACAATAAAAAAGTCATTGGTGTCGTTCCTCAGTTTGCCTTCGGCTTCGCCTCGTAATCTCAGAGTCATCAGAAAAGTTCTTAACGGCCTAGTCATGAAATGCACTATGGGATAATTTTGATATTCAATATAACGATAAATAATTTACCTGAGGAAGGTATTGTTCTGGCAACTTCACAGTCTGTTTTATGCTCGATGATAATAGTAATGTATGCTACAAGGGCTGAAAAGTATTTTGGCAACGTTTTTTATCTGATCAAATATTTTATATTAATAATACATATAATTATAATAATCTATGATAATTTCTTCTGATCAAATATGTTACTAAAATACTTTTCGGACCGTGTAGCATATGTTGTTTTATGTTACAAGGCCTTACTAACCGAGTACTTTTATTGTCAAAGGGAAGTAAGTAAAAAGGAAGGCGATAAGCGGTCTTACCTCCCTAGGGCAGTAAAAGTACGGGGGTAGGGCGGGCCGAGGCACATAAAGATGTTTTTGTCACTCAGTCCGTGAGGCAACGTTTCAAAATATTGTTTGTCATTCAGAAAAATTCCTAACGGCCTAGTGACGCAATATAACTATATGAACCTACCTATTGACATGATGATGAATTACTGATCTATGTGATGTTGATTCGTAAGAATGACATCTTCGTAGGTTACCTCCGTCCTTCTGGACCAGGCAGGGCTTGGGTTTCGATGTGCCACCACAACTACGCGCAAAACAACGATTGTTCCTTACTCATTACTGCTTTATTAGCTAGGATCTGACAATCTTTCAATTACTCCCAGCGGTGTTTCGAGTGACCAGAGTACTCTAGGATTTTGCACTCCCGTAATTTATATTGAAATAAAAATAGAATTCTTTAAAAAATGGAAGCAAGAGGGTTTTAATCTGGTTTCTTTTCTCAATAACTAATGAGTTCTTTGACAAGATGATATTTATAACAAAAAACTACATCAAACAAACTCAGCCTCAGTTATATAACGATGACAAAAATTTGGCAATGTTCAGAGAACTCGCAAATTGAAACCGAAAGGTTTTATGATAATTGAAAAACGATTTTCAGAAAATCAAGGAGGTTTTTTTTGTTTCTTTTTCAATTTCAAAAACGTATATGTTAAAGAATCGCATGGAAAAAAACTGAAATACGATTGAAATTTTTTGTGTTGGACAGCGCTAACTTCTCATCGTCTAGAATTGACTGAGAAAGTTATCTTGAATAGCTAATTTCGTGGAAATTACACTGAGAAAAAAGAGTACCAAGAGTTTTATGGACTGAACAATTCGGAATAGTTTGGGTGGATAAGTTCTCTCAATAACCATAATTACCTCATTATTCCAAGTGCAAAAAAATCGAATCTATCACGTCGAAGTGCCACTCAAAAAAAATCTAAACATGCAAAACTTTAGAATGTTTCAACCACAATGTCATGCATCCCTAGAGAATCTATCACTCAATCATGACTGATACAACCTTTGTCCACCGGCGTTCGTCATTGTCACGAGGTGAGTAACGACAAAATGATTAATCCATAAAAATCATATGAATTACCTCAAGTTATTCTTGCAAATCCTGTGTCGACCACGTCCATCAGTTTCCTTGTAGTCAGTCTCAGTGTCACTGCTGCTGTCTTGGAGATAATTCAGACGATCTGCTGGGTTTGCCATGTCCGACCAGCTGGAAATAACAATTCATAAATATTGACGATTGTTGTGCAATTGATGAGATTTATTTAGCAACCCAAAATCATTCCGATGGAAATAGAATTATTGATTACTACGTATAAATCGACCACCAAATCGTCATTTCATTTCTCGTTGTTACATCTACTTGGTTTTACTGAGTAATTACTGTTCGATGTAATAACAATCCTGACAGCAGCATTTTTTTTATGTTATTCGTTGATTATCGAATTACTCACATGTTTGACACTGGCAAGTAAAACTCGAGTTTTTTCTTGAACCAATTTGACGACGAGCAAATTTCAATGCCACAGATTTCGTGATTTGCTCTTTTTAGAGAAAGTCGCATTCCAGATTAATGAATCAGTTTGCAGCGATTTCGCTGATTGTAAGTGAGAAATCGTAATTGGTGGGCCCTGGGTGAAACTATTTTTTTTTTTTTCAATTGTTTAGTCAGATAGGTCAGATATTATAGGAAGATTGTTAGCAGTTTTGCAAAGGTGTCAACATAAGAGTGTTCCATAGCGGTGGCGCATGAACGTATTAAAAGACCAAATTGTGTCGATAAGGAAGGACGTAAAGATGAAAGTGTCGATAACTGAAAAATTCAAAGTAATTTTTTTATTAACAAAATTCTAAGAAAAAAAAATTAAACGTTCATAGCCGTTGGTTTTTTATCTTCATATATGGTTTTGAGGCCCAATAATTTCTGATCGATATTTGCGAAAGATAATGGCGAAAATTTTGTTATCGATATTGTTTCACGTGTGTGTTTGCCCCTCGAAAAATGGCAATCAGCTGATAGAAATATTAGGAGGTATTGCATGAGGAACTGTGCCAAGGTTAATTGATTGTTTGAAAAAGCTTGTCATATTTTTCTGAGATGAGAAAGGAATGGAATGATTAGAGAAATATTTTCGGAGGTGTTTATGGACTATTTAAATATTTAATTTGGCAATTTCAGGGTAACTGAACTTTAATCAGGTCGACACAGCCGCAGTACAAGGTGGAGGTGTCAAGAAGATTTTGGGAGGAAGAACTATGCTGGGGCTTTTTTTCTGTGGAAGATTCAGTCGTTTTGTGAGAAATGACAAGAATGGAGTCGTCGTGAGTGCAGCGAGATGTTTTGTGACGAGACCAGTGAATTTTAATAAGAACTTTTGCCTCAGCAAGTATAGGAATGCGATATCAACTGTTGGTGTTAGGGTAATTGTCAATAACCCAATTTATAGTGATGAGAATTCTCATTTGTTATCATACCTATTTAATTGACGAGATTACAGTGCGTCGAACGAAATGAATCATAAATATTGATTAACGAATAGCAAAAAAAAATGAAAGCTATCGTTAGTGATAATAATTCCACTTTCCGAGCTGATTTCTCTCCAAGTTGGTGAAAAATTAATCGACCTTCTCAAATCAATTTTCATAAAATAATTAGAATGGGTAGAACTGCGAGAATTCGCGGACGAAAGCACAAGCGATTTCTAGATAAGTCAAATATTCATGATTTCTCAGTATTGAGAGACTTAGACCATTGGATGAGATCCTTAAACTGGTCTCCAACGTGTTTCTTAACTCCGCATTTCTTTAGTGGGACAGGACGAGGATTAAAGTGTCTGGAACTCATCCCAACCTACCAAGTGTTAATGAAAATCCCCCGAAATTTGTTAATTACAACTTTCTCAATTTCTCAGTCTGAAATAATAAAAATTTTCAGCAAGACTCGAAATTACGATCCTCAGACTGTCCTTTCTGTGTTTCTGTGCTTCGAGAAACACCTCGGAGATGATTCCAAGTGGAAATACTACATAAAAAGTCTCCCTGATCGATACACAGTTCCAGATTACTGTAAAAATAACGAAAAAACCATTTTATCCTCATTTATCCTTCAAGATCTCCCGAAGCAATCCCAGAGGGTTGTAAATAACTACAAGATGATTGTGGAGTCAATTAATGAATTGAGGAATAGGGGAAATGATACCTGTGGCCACTGCCGAGGGTATTTGAGGGAAATCTTGAGCTTTCGGGATTTTAAATGGGGATTTTATACTGTAAACACTCGAGCTGTGTACATAGACTCCTCGAAAAACGCGAATAGTCTTGTAAATATTTATGGCGAAGATAATCTGGCACTTGCACCATTCCTAGACCTTTTCAATCACTCCTACGAGGCGTCAGTTGATGTAGGACTGGAGGCCGATGATGATAGTCGAGAATTTTACCGAATTCGGACGTTGAAACCATTTCCTTTTGGGTCTCAGGTTTTTATTAATTATGGTGCTCACTCCAATGCGAAATTATATCTTGAGTATGGGTTTTTCATTGTTGATAATCCACTTGATGAAATTTTTATTGATTATGGTATGATTGAGAGGAGTTTACTTCTCTCCAAAGACACTGGGGAATTTATTAGAACGAATGGGTTTGATCGAAGTATTGGGTTCAGTGCAGAGGGATTTAATTATCATGGAAAAATTGTCCTGTTTGTCATCAGCACGGATCTAGGACAGAGTTATTGGAAGGAGAGGATTTACAGATATGATTTTAGTGAAAATGAAATGTTGAGAATTGCAGAATTAGGGATTAAACTGGTAAATTTTAAGAAGATGGAATTAATTGAGAAGTTACGAGAAATGAAAAAATCTGTAAATCACAGTGAGAGTTTCAAGATATTCCTTTCACTTACGGATGAATATATTTATTTATGCGATAAATGTTTAGGGAATTTGACGAGTAGGAAAAGTAATAATTAAAATAAGGTAAATTCAGGCAATGAATTGTTGATTGTAAATTTGAGAAGGTGATTTTGTAATTTTTGCAATGAGGATTAATAAATTTACTGAACAATTTATTGATTGATGGTTATGAATTCATTGGGGTTTTTTGCTCAGTGTTGCAGTGGCAATGTGATTGACCGAGCCCAAACGAAAAAGAATGTACCCCAAGCGAAGCCAGTTATCACTCCAGTTAAAAATCCCTTGATTGTGGATGGAGTGACAGGGGGTAAACCAGGGCAGCAGAAGAGAAACTGCTTTCATCCTGGAGCTTCTGCACTCAGCAGGGATGACTTACAACTCAAGGACTATCCCCCGGTCACCAGTGCTGACATGATCAAGGCTATGGGGAGTTATATCTGGCCAAAGGTAAAACTCGAATTTTCTCTAATTGTTATTTTCATCGACACGATAAAAAAATGTCTAAAAAATGTAGTTGGAAAATTCTGTTTAAAAAATAATTCCAAACAAAAAATAAATAAATAAAAATAAATGGCTCATTTATTAAAATTAATAAGCAATACTCTGTCGAAATACTCAGTACATTTTTTTTTGCATTCCAATGAAAGCTGTGCAAATTGAATTTCTGGGATTTTTCTATTCTGTCAGGAAGATTCTGATGTGAAAAATCGTGTGAAAGTAGCTGTGGGACTGCTGGTCGGAGCTAAACTCCTGAATGTTGCAGTTCCATTCCTCTTCAAGCACGCGATTGATAAATTGAATGCAGCATCCATAGCTGCTGGTGGAGAAGCTGTCCTGGGCATGGGAAGTGCACCAGAGACAGTGACAACTGTAGTGACATCTCTCCTCATTGGATGTGAGATTTATAAATTCAATTCGATTGATAATTTATTAACCCATGTCTTCATCGTATGTTTCAGATGGAATTGCTCGATTGGGATCAGCGGGATTCAACGAGCTCAGAAATGCAGTATTCGCCAAAGTAGCTCAAGGATCTATTCGAAAAATTGCAAAAAATGTATTTTTACATTTGCACAACCTCGATCTGGCTTTTCACTTGTCGAGGCAAACGGGTGCATTGTCTAAAATGATCGACAGGGGAAGTCGTGGAATAAATTTTGTCCTTTCAGCGATGGTGTTCAACATAGTGCCAACAGTCTTCGAGTTAGCTCTAGTGAGCACAGTACTAGGGATCAATTGTGGTCCTGAATACGCAGGTGTGGCAGTGGGATGCGTTGGTGTCTACGCAGCATTCACCCTAGCTATCACCCAGTGGAGGACCAAATTTCGTGTGTACATGAACAAAGCTGAGAACGAAGCTGGAAATAAAGCCGTTGATTCGCTCATTAATTATGAAACAGTTAAATATTTCAATAATGAAAAATTCGAGGCTGAGAGGTATGACGAGTCCTTGAAGAAGTACCAGGAGGCCTCGTTGAAGACAAGTACCAGCTTGGCGTTACTTAATTTCGGACAAAACGCCATTTTCAGTGGCGCTCTGAGTCTGATCATGGTGATGGCTGCTAAAAATATCGCGAATGGAACGATGACCGTTGGGGATCTAGTGATGGTGAATGGATTACTATTCCAATTATCAGTTCCTCTGGGATTTTTAGGATCAGTTTATCGAGAAGTCAGGCAAGCTTTGATCGATATGCAGACAATGTTTGCACTTTTGGCTCGTGATCCCACAGTTAAGAGTAAACCCAATGCAACTCCATTTTTCGTGACTCCAACTACCTCCGAAATAGTATTTGACCGAGTAAATTTCCAGTACGTCGAGGGTAAAACGATTCTGAACGATATGAATTTGACGATCCCAAGTGGAAAGAAAGTTGCTATTGTCGGTGGTTCTGGTTCTGGGAAAACCACAATTGTCAGACTACTGTACAGATTTTTCGAGCCTCAGGACGGTACAATCACCATAAACGGTGAAAATATCGTAGATATCGATTTAGATGATCTGAGGAGAACAATCGCTATTGTACCCCAGGATTCTGTGCTCTTCCACGAATCAATATTCTATAATCTTCATTATGGAAATTTGAAGCGAAGCAAGGAAGACGTTTACGAAGCAGCAAAAATGGCGAATCTTCACGAGGCTATTCTCAAATGGCCCAAGGGTTATGACACACCTGTTGGAGAAAGAGGATTGAAATTGAGTGGAGGTGAGAAACAACGTGTGGCCATCGCGCGCGCTATTTTGAAGGATAGTCCTATTTTAATATTCGATGAAGCCACGTCATCGTTGGACTCAATTACTGAAAGTGTGAGTAAATATCATGTGAACAATTTTCCATGGATAGCATATTTTGTCACTGGGACTGTAATTTAATTAATAATGGGCTTTATCAATTATTTAATTCGTCAGCACATTTTGGAAGCTCTTCGTCGAGCAACAGTGGGTCGCACTTCGATTATGATTGCTCACCGTCTGTCCACTGTAATGGACGCAGACGAAATTCTAGTCCTCGACAACGGCAAACTCGTCGAAAGGGGTACCCACCAGGAGCTCATCGTCAGCCATCAGTCCATATACAACAGACTCTGGGATGCCCAGAACATCGGACTTCTCAAATCCAAGGAGCAGCAACACAAGCTGCGAAATCAAGGCTCCACATAACGAAAATCATCTTCTAGCTCCAATGATCCGTCAATTGTAAAAATAAAATCAATCCCGAAGATAATATAATGTAAATACTCAAGTTCCCTTTGTAGAGTTACGCAAATGACTGCATGTGATAGTATTTTCGTAATGTACATAAAAGAATATGAAGTAATCATTGAAAATGAAAGTTATTGTGGATAATGAAGTGGAATAAACAAACCCGCCGCCAAACTCATCTCTTCATTCATTGATTTATGGAATGTGTTAAGAGTAAGTTACAATCAGTAAAGCATTTATGGATTTTCAAGAGAAACTAAATCTGTAAATTCTTGAATAACCCTGGAATAATGGACGAAGGAAATTTTTAGGGGGATAAACTAACTTTTTTATCGATTTTTTTGTTTTCGTCAGCAAGTAAGTGATTTCATATATATTTTTCTCGTAGACGATCATGAAACTTTCAGAGACAGGAAGAAAAGAAAATGATTTTTTTTCACGACGTGCCCAGGGACCGGTTTAGGATCATTGGTAGAGGAAACAAAATTCGAGTCCTGGGTAAAATCTTCAATGAAATGATGCAGATAAAAAAATGTACTCTGGCCCACCCACTCCTTGTTATGATAAATCGTCGTCATAGTAACGCATCCTAAAACAATCATGGATGTCATTTAACTGCAGGAATGCCCCAACAAAACAACCCAAAATGTTAACTAATCACAACTACCGCTGGAGCTGGTACCACGTTCCAAAAAATGTTCAGTTATTTGGATAAATTATTTTTATAACAATCGGAAGATGCAAACCGAAGTGCCTGTCCTGCCGATAGTGAATTCAAATGGGCACAAAAGCTCTACTAGGTAATTAATACAATAAAAATAATGCACTACTTGAGATTTCAATAATTCAAGGGTCAAGGAGAATGTGTCTATTTTCTGAGTTTGATAATTCTGGATTTAACATTAAAAAATTGATTATAAATCCAAAAAATATTATTTTTCACAGTCCATGTTAAATACTGGATTACATACAACATGATGATTACTAAAAGATGTTAACCAGTGTAACTTGCGTTTCAGAAAAACTAATGGCGAGGCGGTTTCATCAATAGAAAGTAAGAATCATACGCAATGCAAGAGTGCTCAGTTTCTCATATCGAATCGCAAGCATTTGAATCCCATACTTGGTTTGTAAACAATTAATCTAGATATAATTGCAAGACTAATTCGACGGGTGTGGGGTTTTCAATTAATAGGAGCGCCTTACAAGAATAGTATGAGACTGCACTGTGTCTCCGAACCTACGAGACGCCCATTAAAAAATCCTGTGGGTCAACGAATCATCTCGGCGAAAACTCTGAGAGTCAAGGAGTTGCAGAATCAACTGACTGACGCACATTATCATTTAAACGTGAGTAAAGCTTTTTCATAGTCGTCTTCGGGTCTATCAGGAATCTCATGGGTTTCAGGAACTCGCCAATGAGAATAGGCTGCTGAAAGCTCTTCAGAAGAGACAAGACTCTGCTTTGAAGAGATACGAAGGCACTAATGCTGAATTACCTAGAATTATCAATTCTCATCATGAGGAATTGAAAGTTCTGCAGACTAAATACAAGAGACTCAGGTCTCAGCACAAGCTGACGTGTGATTTGATGAAGGAGAAGGATAATGAAGTTCATACTTTGCAGGTCTATATTTTTATAATAAAAAAATTCCACTGTGATGACAATGTGACAGTATTTTTTATTGCATATTCTTCTCCTTCAGGCTCAAAATAAACATTTATTGCAATTGAGTAAAGACAGACACTTGGGAGAACGCGAAAAATTGCAGATGCAAGTCTCCGATTTGAATCACAGGATTGAACAGCAACAGGAAACTATTCAAGTAGGAACTTCATAAAAAAATTATTTCATTAAAATCCCATGTTATTTATACGATTGATCATTCAAAGTTAGTTCAATTGTTCAATTTATATTTTTTCCTTTTTAGAGTTTGAACAGGAAATTATCGCTCTCCAGTAAAAGCTTAAAACATCAATTACACGTTGAAGTAACGAAGCACAAAGAGACCCAGAAGCAGTTGAGCGAGACTCTCGACAAATTGAAGAATCTGGAAGAATTGCTAGACAACAGAGAAAAGCGATTATACCAAAGTGGGCAACTGCCGGCGTTCAACAAACGGAAGGCGTTGACGAGTCAGTCTTTAATGAATTTAGGACTCTCCCATCTCATTAAATCTTCCAGTAAAAGTAGAGACTCGCAGAGTGGTTTCAAAAATAAAAGTTTGGTAAGTCCCGAAATATATATATTCATGATTCTTCAATATTGTTCTCTTTAAATTTTCATAGAAAAGACCCCAGTAGAATAAATTGAACTTAAAACCTCTTGAGTTTTATCTCATAAGTTTTTTAGAAAGTCGATTCAATTTTGGATTATTCCGTTGAACTTTCCCTGATTTTATAGTCCCCATCTCAAACTGTCAATTGCAGTTTTTTTCTTCAATATTCCATTAAGCCAAAGCTACCAGTAAACGATTCGAGCGACTCAAAGCCCTCATCCTCGAAGACAGAAGCTCCAGACGTTCCCAGGACTGAAACGATGGCGTCCCTCCACCAGGTCCGTAAATTCAGACTCCAGAAATCGGCGCAAAATACATCGCGAGCCCTCACGGAGCGTCTACATCTAGACGAAGATGCTCCGAAAATCCATCGGAATTCCACCCTAAACAACTCAGTCCCTGCGAACATGAACGAGTTGTACGACCGACTAGACCCTCAAGACCTCGCCGACGAGGAGATCAAGCACATAATGCAGGGCTTTGATTCGAAGCCCCCGAATTATCAGGCATCCAAGGTTCTTCTCAAGGAATACAGATACTCCACCGACAGTGACAGTGAAAACATCGCTGAAGAGGAAGTCGATCGTCTGGAGCGACCGCAACAGTCCCCAAAGACATCGCCAACAAGAAACTCCCGTCATTTGCACTCGAAATTGATAAACGGATCGATTGACAATCAAACCCTTCGCCTGGAGCAATCCCTCCTCAACTTGAATTCTCAAAAACTCGACAGCAAGCTCCTTTACAAAAGAGTTAATCGAGTCTCGGATCGGAAAGCGTTGGAGACATCTTCGGACAGCGACTCTGAACCTGAAAGGGCTAAAGATTTAGAAGAGGGCTTGAGAGTTAAAAAGAAGGAAAATTCCTCCTCCAGCAGTAAAAACTCTGCGCCGGGCATGGAGAATAGCCAAGAGCGATTGCTGAGCATTACAAAATCCTGGTCAGATCTCCAGCACAAAATAAACCGAGGCCGAGAGACTTCCGAGGCCCAACTGAACTCCTTGGAGAACTCTTCGGAAATCGAGTCGAGCAATTCCGGAAATAAGGAAATTCCAGAGAAACTGTTGCGGTATTTCGAGAGAGAGGAGGAAGTGGAACGTGATATTTACCAGAGTCACGATAAGTCTCGACGTGGAACGTTCGGCCTTGACCGCTCACATTTCACGTCGGATCAATTATCTGTTAAGAATGGACACAATGAAAGTGACTCGATGAACGGTGAAAGCTCACCGAGGGAAGAAGAAATACCGGATGTTGCTAGGAGAAAAAGTAGCGATGGCGTTGTCGAGGCGAATATTAGTAATTTTAAGGACAACAATCCTGGAAAGTTCCTTCCTGATGCTCGAAAAATGGACACCATTGATAAAGAGGACAGAACTAATCAAAGAGTTAATTACAGCAAGGAGAAATTACTGGCTGCTATGAAGGCAATCGATGATAATGAGAACATCGAGTTCATTTCGAATGAGAAGACTAATCAGAGGAGCACCAGTTCGACCATCAGATCTCAGGTGACTGAGAATCTTTATCGGGGACTCCCCACACATGCCAGGAAGCGGGATGATATTATTAAGGACATTTTTAGTGATGCTAAAGTGGATAATAAACTACGGAGTGGGTGTAGTAAGTTGCATTGACATTATTGTCGCACGGATTAATTGAGCACGATTCATACACTGAGAATAAAAACATGTTTTCGAAGGAGTTGGGAAAAATCTTTTTTTTTTAAATACTCATTGACAATTTTGCTGGAAATCTGTGAAAATTATACCAAAAATCACAAAAAACTGACATAAATAACGCCAGAATTATTCAAGGAATTTCTCTCCTTGTCGATTGAAATGAATATTTAAAATTTTTCTTCTTGATCAATTTTAACATTTTTTGGGGCAATGAAAATTGATTTGAGAACATGTTTTCCTGTCAGTGTCTAGTCATTGGATGCAAAGGGCATTGGTTTATATATTTTTTCATTTATAGCAGTGACGTCAAGGTTGACAGCTGATTAATTTATCGTAGGGATAATCAATTGACGACACGTGGCTGGTTAAATTTTTTTCAGAAAGCAAGACAGAATCGAACAGATGATGACTGGGTAGACAGATCTATTTATACGTGCTGTGAATGAATTGTTTTGTAGTTTCGCTACTGTTTAAATTCAGGTATGATGGTATTTGTATGGGAGAGATAATCCTGTGGTTAATTGCGATGTGGGTAATTAATTTTTGGAGATGAAGGGAAAGGAGTTCGAGTGGAAGCATTCGAGTAATTCAAAAGTATTCAAATAATTCTCCTAAATCGTAAAAAACCTGAGAATCGATTTTAATAACGGAAGGGTAAACCCATGGATGTAGTAATTTTATAACCGTCGCAATCAATTACAGAATTACCGATACATGTAAAGAATATTACTGTAAAATGTGTGATCAGATTTCATACGACAGAAGAAATAATAAAACCAATAATTTTCGTACTGAAAAAAATAGTATAATCAATTCATCAATCATTTTTAGTGTTATTAAATATTTTTTTTATTCGTCATTTAATCTCATCTTTTTTATAAATATAGTATAAAATTCGACTGTGAAAAATAATTTCTGATAAATCTCGATTCTGTACAATACATTTTCATAACAATTTTATATAAAATGTCTTAGATACTGTCTCTACCTCACAAAAGCATGAGAGAAATTTGTTAATACCCGTTGTTACTCTTCGGTGTACATTCAAGATTCGTCACTCCATTTTCGAGTAAAATCATACTTTGGCGATTTTTCATGGACACATATCAATTTTATCCCCCCATGAAACAATTCCAATGAGTAAAGCAATAATAACGTAAATATAAAATTCAACAAAAACTCGTCAACTTAACACTCACGCTGGAAGATCTAAACTGACTCGATGTTGTGCTGTGGTCTGACGTGAAAAATGTTCAGCCATTTGCTAAAAATCTCCCATGGCAGCAATAATGTTTGATAATGCAGTTCTTGCGTCACTATCTCGAAAAACACTTAAGACTTCCATTGCTTGTTGTGAGTGGTCCTTCTGCAATTGCTTGGTCAACTCGACACCTGGGCCTTTTGTAACGCTGTCGTACACCTGAGCACACACAATTTATCAATTAAATCAATTAATCAACATCATGTTTTATTCGTAGTGTTTACCTTTGCGTAATCAACGTTTTGGACGGATTGTAGACCTTTGTCGATCTCAGTTAGAATTGAGGAATCATGCTCGATGTGGAACATCACTGGGGCTGAGCAGAGATTGAAAGGAGATGCTGGATCCTCTTTGCTGATGAACGGACTCAAGTCGAGGCATGCCTATAATTTAATAATACATAGTTGATGTCTTTGAGGAATAAAGAATTCTTGGTATTCAATTATTTTTATAAAAATCATTAGTTTACCTGCCAGGCAAGAGCTAAATGTTTTCCGAAGTTGTATCCCTGCATTTGCAGATCCTCATCATGTCCAGCAAGTTTTAATGTACCTTGACAGGATTTTCCAAGGAGTGATCCAGCACTGGTGACATTCTGAAGCGTCCACTCTCTCACAGCATAACCAGTTCGATCCTCAGGGGGTACTGGAGGTAATGCATTATTCTGACTATCTCTTCGGCCGAGAAATTCTGCTTCCGCCAGATCGCGAACTGCACTTGACATTAATTCAACTAACTAAAACACCAATTGATTTTACATTCATGAAAAAGTGAATATGAAAATTAACAAGATAAAAATGTCATAAGGAAATTGAAAATGTAATTTTTACATCTTGATTCCTGAGTGCTGCTAGCTCAGCGCAGCTGTTCCCCAGGAGATAATCTCCACTTAGAAGAGCGATTTTGTTTCCAAAAGTCATGTCGTTGTGTTCAGCGGCATCTGGGAAGACTCCAGGTTGAATATTGACGAGTCCCTTGTGAACTAAATGACTCGTGCGAATCATTTCAGTGACTTCAGCAAGTGCTCGCTGGCTGTGCAGTACGCCTGCAGCTTTGTCCTCCTCCATGTCATCTACATTCAGGTGTCCAGCTGCCTTAGAGATCAGGAGGACTATCAGGCCCCATGCCTGCATGTTATTTCTTCCATTGTAAATTAAACTCCTACCAAAAAAAATACAATATTCACGACATACTCAGCAAATCAATCGAAAAATTAAATTCTATGAATGTTTTGTTGGATATCATAAGGATATTCATGGAGGACGAATATATTCTTTTTCTCAGCCAATGCTATGGATTACGTAAATCGATTTTATGGACGTAGTGAAATCAAATTGATGAATAACTGTAGAAGGATAAGAGGTTTGGAAAAAATATAAAAAATCCAGTCCAAAAAAAAACGATAAAAGTTTCTCCTCTGCCGAAGAAGAAATACCGAAGAAGAATAAGAAGAAATTAATTCAAGGGACTTAAAAAATAAATACTTGGCTGTTTTCAAGAGTGGATGATTGGATCCAACAAGTTTTCTCAGATGTAGGGCGACATTGGCAATTTCATCGCTGAGAAGCCATCGTAGGCTGAGAAATGACGTTGGATATCCGACAATTTTTTCAGCTTCAGACACAGCTCTGTTCCAATCTGGTTTCTGATTAGTCGCCACTTTGGTAACGTAGCACCTCCAACTTCTGGATTCATCATCACTCGTCCGAGGAAAATAGCCCCTCTGTGATGCCTGGATCACTAGATTTCTGTCACGAAAGAGAGCAGAGAGTGCATTCGTTCTTTTGACAGTTGTCAACACTGAGTTATTGATGGACATGCTTTTCCCGTTTTTACTTGAATATTTTTCACACGAGACTCCCAGGAATATCCCAGGGACTGCAGATTATCAGGTGACACGCGTTTGGCGAATATACTGTGTCAGGATGAACGACATTGGGCACACTGGTTACATTGAGGATATCCAGCAAGTGCCTACGTTTCGAAAACTTTCACCTTTGGCCTGAATTTCTACACTGGCTACGTTCATAACCGAGGCTAACCTCAACTCCGAAATTCTTTCATTCCCAGTGACGTTACGTGCATGTTATCATTATCCCTTCTACTTTGTAGAAGTCAATTGCCGGTATAATTGCAGGGGAATGCGCATGCGTCAGCTTCACGCCTGTTGCTTCCTTTCTCCAAGAGGCATTTTCAGCTAAATCCTTAAAAAATGTTTACCTATTTTCATAAATATCCTCGAAGTTAAGGGAAATAATTAAATTTTCCTCCTAACCTCTTTTCTCAAGTTCGCTGCAAAAAAAGTTATAAAATTTCACTATCTCCAGCAGTTGCAGTAGTATTTTTCAAAAACCCCAACGCTGAATCCTCCAAAAAACTCTTTTAAAAAATACAGCAAACTTAAAATCCACGTCTTCCACTCCGACTAAAAAAAAAAAGAAAATACGGAACATTATACAGGGTGTTCCATTTAAAACAGTATAGGTGAATAACTCTTGAAAGAGGAAAGTAATCGGAAAAACTTTCAAATGAAAGTTGTAGGGTTCGAAGGGGCACAATTGACACCAAGTTAGTCTCCAGCATAAATGCTTATATTCTTATGCTGCAAGTCACATTGCATTTTTTTTAACGGCAATCAAAAATTTTACCTTTACTAAAGTTATGCCTTTCGCTGAGGCGTATCCAAATATATTATGTTTTATGCCAATTCACCCATTTTACGGTGAAATTATCCATAAAATTGCGATTCAATGAATTGTCCAGGCAGTGCCTCTGTATGTACCTTCTCACGATTTTTTTCAATTCATTTTTCTCAAAAAACATTGAACATTAAACATTAAACATTAAATGGCCCCTGAGCCCCACCCCCCACCCCTCCCCAAATTCTAAAATCCTCTAATAATGGTTGCCACCCCATGTGAATCCGCGGGCGCCGTGCACCCTTAATGAAACGCCAACGCTAGGGCATTATAAACGGAAAAATTCTCATTTTCAACAATTGAGCCCGGCAGTGGCCTGACGACCTCAACTATCGATTATTCACTTCTCGAAAAATCCATGCGAGCTCGACTAGATTTCCCGCGGTTTTGGTACTAACCCGGCTGGTGGCTGTATGCATACCGGTGCGTAAGCTAGTCGTGCATGGGTAATTCACTCGCATCAAGTCGCATAATATCTCTCATAAAAATCAAGAGCATTCTCCCCCGATTGAATTGGCGATTGCCGAATAAATTGCCCGATCGTGTGAGCCGCGAGCTCGTTCCAGTCTCTAAAGTCACAGCTTTGATACCGTACAATATGCCGCCAAACAGAGGACGTGTGACGAAGGTTAGTTTTCCCTACCGCATGGAGCCCAAGTTATTTTTCTTGAAAAATAAAAAAATCAATTATAACCCTTTCCAGAAATTCTGCAACTGCCCCGAAGCCTGCAATTCCAACACTTTCTCCCAGTTTTCTCATCTTCCCACATTTTTATCAATTTTTACTTGGACTAACTCCTCCATTTGCTATTTAGGCCGCATCGAAATCAAAACCTGAAGTAGAAAACAATTCGAATGACGAAGGAGACAGTGACGCGGCTGAAATGGCAGTGGATGTGAAAAAATCAGCAGCGAAAGGTAAGAAGAAGCCATCACCAAAGGAGAATGGAAATGACGAGAAGGTGAAACCTACACGAGGTCGTAAAAAGGCAGAGGTTCAGGAGGACGATCAAGAGGTTCCAGAGCCTCCAAAGGCATCAGCTCGAGGTAGGAAGAAGGCAGCCCCTGTGGAGGACACTTCTGAGGACATTGAGCCCAAGAAAACCATTAGGAAGAAAAAAGAAGCACCAAAGGCAGTTGAGTCAGAGCCTGAGGATGAGCCCCCGAAGAAGGCTTCACGAGGTAGAAAGAAAGCAGAGGTCATTGAGAATGGAGATCAGCCTGAAGAGCCCAAGTCCAGGGGACGAAAGAAGGCAGAGGCAGCAGAACCACCACAAGAGTCATCAGAGAAAAAGCCCTCGAGAGGCCGCAAGAAGAATACCAATGAATCATCAGAAGAACCGGAAGAGCCCGATAAGACGGAGAAGCCAAAACGTGGAAAAAAGGGAAAACTTGATGCAGTCGAGGAAGCTCTTGATGACGAGTCAGAGGAGAAACTCCCTGCGAAAAGGGGAAGAAAGGCAGCAGTGAAGCCTCCAGAGGATGGGGAAGACGACGAGGAGAAGCCAGCGAAGAGAGGAAGAAAGCCCAAAGGGAAGGAAGTAAAAGAACCTAAGGAGAAGGCACCAAAGTCCGCTAAGGCAAAACGAGATGACACCCCTGACGAAGACGAGGAGCCCTCAGTCAAGAAATCAAAAACTGAGGAGAAAAAAAAGATTAACAAGACAGACACGAATCTGGAGGAAATTGATTTCGGGTGTGATAAGACAAATGCCAAGGGGAACAAGTTTAATGTGAAGATTTGTTCGTGGAATGTTGGGGGAATCAGGTCTATCGGGGAAAAGAAAGGAAGAGATTACTGTCTCAGAGAGGATGCTGATATCATTGTTATGCAAGAGACAAAATGTACTGAGAAGGATTTACCAGAGACGTGGGATCTGCCAGGGTACAAACGGTATTATTCCGACAGTGAGAAAGCTGGATATGCTGGGGTGGCCCTTTTCACGAAGGAGGAACCTCTCTCGGTGAAGGTGGGACTTGAGACGTCACCCTGCAATGACGAGGGGCGAATTATCACAGCTGAGTTTGACGGATTCTATCTGGTGGCAGTTTATGTTCCAAATGCTGGGAGGGGACTGGTTACTCTACCAAAGAGACTCGAGTGGAACACCGCCTTCAAAAATTATGTGAAGGAACTGGACGAGAAGAAACCTGTGATTATCTGTGGAGACATGAATGTTGCACACGAGGAAATCGATCTTGCCAATCCAAAGACCAATACCAAACACGCTGGCTTTACCAAGGAGGAACGTGAGGGCATGACTGACTTTCTGGGGGCTGGATTCGTTGATACATTCCGAAAGTTTTATCCTGATCAGACTGGGGCCTACACCTTCTGGTCGTACATGGGTGGTGCCAGGAGCAGGAACGTTGGGTGGAGGCTCGATTACTTCATTGTTTCTGAAAGGATTAAAGATGATATCTGCGACAATGTCATGAGGAGCCAGGTCTATGGCAGTGATCATTGCCCCATTGTACTTTTTGCCAACTTGTAAGGGTGACGGGATACTGGACCATTTTTTTATTGTAATACTACTTTATGAATATTGAGACGACTTGTGACTACTGTTTGGAGGATGTATCATTTTTAGGTTTGATTTTTCTTGTGAATTTAATTTTTGTTTTTCGAATCTTTGAAAAGAATTTGTAGTGAATGTATCAGAATGTACTGGCTGGAGCCACGAGTTTTTCGGAAAATATATATGTAATTTTTCAATCTGAGGGTTTTTTTCTTGGGAGTTAAAATTTCATTCTATTCGATGGAGGTACTGACTTATTGCCAATCATTTATTATGGCATTTTTCCACGATTTCTATTATGGAAATTAGTCTATTTTATTGAAGTCTATTATTTCCATGGAATCTAAATAGAATTAAATCATACAATATTTACAGTACGACTTTGTAAATCATAGGATATTACAAAAATTCTCACATGTTTTAATTGATCATTCATCGAGTTTAGCAAATATTTCAAGTAAATGTCGATTTTATCGCTATAATTTCTGCGAAGCGATGACGTAGAATATTTTTAAATGAGAAAAATTGTTAAAAATATGAGTAACTAATCCTCTCCGGCTGGAATGGCATCCTCCAGCCTCTTGATGAATTTCACCCGGAGTTCAGTTATACTGTCGTTCTTCAGTTGATCCTGAACGAACCACGAAGAGATCTCCATCTGTACCATCTCACAGGCACCCCTCAGCACCCCAGTAAGAATATTACAATACTTGAGATTCAGACAATTGTCGGGCAATTCGACGAATTCTGTAAGGGGATTGGACTCGAAGCAGAGGGAAAACTCGTCTCCAGCTGCACTCCAGTTGGTGATCGTTGGAGTTATCCCCAGGAATATCTTGAAGCCGGACTGAATTTTCTCAGCAGTATCACGAAAATCGTAACAACGACCTGATCCAGTTCTCGCCAGGAAGTCCTCGATGAGACGAATTCCCATATTGTATCCCATTCTTTCTAGCTGCTTGTTGACATCATCCACATTTTCGTAATCTTTCAGCAATTGAGCTACTAGAGCTCCATAAGTTAACGTAAACAATTCAGAATTCTGAAATAATCAAAGTGAAAGGGACATCATTAAAATGTTCATAGACTTCCCGCATTTCTTATAAAGTCATTTGAATTCCAATGAGGCTAGATTATCCTGAGCACTGGATTGTTCTCCTGAATCTCTTTACTTCCAAAATGTATTTTTAAAAAATAGAGATGGTGAACATGATATTGACTTTTACTTTATCCAGTTAGAATCATTAATCCTAGAAAACCTTTTATTTTATCCAAATCATGAGTTTTTGGGGATGAGATTGAGAGGATGATTGAACAGGTTTGTTAATTTGTTAGATTAAAAGAATAGAATGAGCCAGTTTATATCTGATTGTCGATGATGTTGGGGTTGATACTTTACCACTTTTTTAGCATCGAGCCTCGTTCCTGGTCGTGACATTTCTGCATCAATTTTTGATAATTGGGATTGATGCCACCTGTCAGTTGACACATAGGAGGTGGAGCATATATCACTGTATTATAAATACATAAAAAGTGAGGTTAGAATTTCAAAGAAGATAGATGAGATTGAAGAGCATTGACTAATGTAGAGTTTGAGTAACCCCTGCGGCATCGTAGTATTGCACCCTAAGAGAAGGAGGGCGCCATATACAATGGGGTGTCTGCCCGTCAATTGACTCGGTAACTGCTGCAGTAGTAGTTCCGCTGTTAGTTTCGAAATTAGTATTCATGGAAATTAAAAAATTTTATGGAGTCTCTTAAATTTTTTGCCCCCATGCGATCCTTAACCAAATCCAATTAACTTACTGGATAATTAATGGATAATAGAGTGGACAGTTGACTCAGAAATCACTTATTATTAATCAATAATAATTACAAAAATTAATCCATTTATTCGTAATCTCTACACAATGTTAATTTATTCATTCAGAATTAGTGGAATTTTGGCATATCGTGTAAAATAAAATGTCAATATAATTCGAATAATTAGAACACTCTCAATTATTAAATTTTGATGAACGCAGAGAGGATTGGGATTACATAATCTTTAGGTTTCGTCATTTTGTGGCTTTGATCCAGTCGATTTCAAGAGCGGCTACACCTGCTTGATTTTCTGGTAGATAAGGCCCCATGTCCACTTTAAGGCCTATATTCGTTATTGACGAAGTGTCCAGAGGATTTTCCTCCAAAGGCTTCTCTTGTCCTCTGTAGTAAGGTCGGAATTCAGCAAGGGGTAGTTTTATCGTTGCGAATTCGTTTTCAGGTGCCTGAGAATTATTGTTAATTAATGGGGCACAATAAGATATTTGCCCATAAATTTAAATCCATCTCACAGAGCCCAGCTCGAATAACAGCTTTTTTCAATTCGTACCTTCAGACTTTCCCCGAGAAAGTTTATTAGGATTTCCCAAAAAATTTTTTTGTTTAGGGCACGTAAAAAAATGAAAGAGCGGAACACTGAGGATTCAGGCAATTAGAGAAAATAATTATTGGAAGAATGTGAGAATTTTTGCTGTAGTCGTCAATTAAATATTGCCTGGTGTTCTTAACTTCTCAACTATTTGCGCACAAAGAAATCTACCGGAGTTCTAAATGAATTGTCACAAAGTAGATCTCGAAGATGCAATTAAAGGAAGCAAAATGTACCACTGGGAACTAATCCAGTATTTTTCAATGAAGCACTGGTAAATTGTTCCTAACGCTTTTACTACGAGAAGCACTTGAAGGAGAAGAGAATTCTTGTACGTAAAATTGGATTTATCCTGAAGAATTGTAAATTACCGTGAAAACTTGACCATATACTAGGGCATTCTTGTCCAGCCCCTTGTGCCTGAGTAACATCTTGTATTTGTAATTAGTCCCCTGGCCCCGGCACTTGATCGTGATGTAATTAGACCCGGAGAGATCGAAATTAGTGTCACATCTGACTGCAGCATATCCTGTCCTATTCGGCCTTGGATTGAATAGAGTAAAGAATATTGCTCTTTGTACCAATTGTGTTTTCTGCATAACGAGCGCTGCTTTGGACATTCCAGTTGTTTTAATCGTGTCTGAACATTCAGTCCAGCTTCCTAATTGATCCGTTCGCGTAAAATCGAACAGAGTTTGAGAAGTTCTGTAATTGGAGAAAAACTGTTCAATCGGTTTTATAATCAATTTTTGATTAGTTTCGGAGCGAATGGAAATTCGATTAAAGCAGACGAATGCAGGGGATTAACAATTTACGTTTAAGGGTGGAATGAGGATTTCTGGAGTACTTCTGTGGTGTAGAAGGGGCAAAATGGTTCAATTCAATTTCATTTGGGATAACCTAGGGGTAAATTCGAGAATTCCCAAGAAAAATGATTAAATTCGTCAATTCTTCTTCCTGAGTTTCATTTGAATCCCAAATTCGCATTCCAAGCCGGGTAGGCATGGCGTAGGCGTTTCCAAAATTAAACTGGACGATGAGATGTGATTATTATTATCAGGGAATGTCAACATGAATGTGTAATGATGGCAAGTGTATTGAGAATTATTCAAGAAATGGTGAATTAGTTGGAAATTATGAATGAGGTCCTGGAGATATTGGAAAATTGCAAAAAGTTTGTAGAAATGTTAATTTTTTAAATATTTAATATAGTTTACTTGAAACACAACTAACGCGATTCCACGCTCGCAATTACAAGATTAGTCTGAAGTTTGAATTAATCGCGCCTGAAGCCTGACTAACACCAATCTGTATCCCTTGCAACAGGATGATGTAGTTGTTATTGAAATTTCATGCCCAGTTGATACCGAATTCATGAAATATTGTTTGCCTTATTGAATCCGTTCATTTATTTGACTCAAAGGAATCTTTTGTATCTCAAGAAGTGAACAAACAATACATTTGCGAAATGGAAAAATCTTATTCGGAGTCGAAACCAATAGCACGTTTCCTGCATCGAAATCGTGAAAGCTAGAAACTGTTTACGAAGCAATGGAACGAATAGAAAGCATTCTCAAATATTGGCCATATTCTCAGCAACGAATTTTCTCAACTCTCCAAGGATTGATCAGTGTTATTTCTTCACCTGTTCATTCTCACAAATTTCGAAAAATCATGGAACAAAAAATAAACTTCTCTTGATTTTTGTTACTTTACTTCACCATTTGATCCGTTAGAAATACTTGTCATTCTGAATCCCTCAAATTGGCAAACTCACCCGTTCGCTGAAGCTACCATACCTCACTGAGACTGAATAAAACTGAATAACTTTTTACCTCGTGACATTCTTCCGATCGATCGTTGCAGATTATTTTCTTCTTTCTCAGACATTTCAAGGATGTATCGTAAACACTGAGGGGTACCATGGTACCAAGAGGTAGAGATTTCAAAAGTCTACTCGCGTGTCACTTTGTACTTACACCGGCGTAACGAGAAACCAGTTTCTATTTTTGTTGTATTCTCTAACTCAATGGATTCAATAAAAATGGATGAGTGAAGCTTTCGATTTTTTTCTTACAAGCTTTCATTTCATTGAACGACTAAATTGCCGATGTACGTGTGATACGCTTCATTTTTTCAAATTTCAAGTAATTTCATATTTCAATTTCATTTTTTCTTCGATTCAATTTATTTACTTTGATGTTACAAATATTTTTTTCTTTTACATCGAATTCTAGTGTGATAGTAGAGAATTCTTTCAATCTTTATAATTGCCTTTCCAATTAATAGGACGAGAATAAATTAATTAGTTTGTTCAATCGTTATTTCAATTTCTGAATTTCTTTGTGGATAAGAGGTAAATTAATGAGTAGTAAAGAATAAATTGTATAGTTCACAATTTTGTTTGAGCGTTCTTTTTTACGTGAAATTTCATTGTTCGAACAGCGAACAATAGGAATGGAGAGTCTGAAATAGACAAAAGAATTGGCAAAACAAAAGGAGGGTTGGATGGAAAAATAATGGTGTATTCAGAAGCATCTAGGTGGTTGCAACAATAGTTTCAAGTTCGAGTGCTGACACCCCCTTCTGTTTAAACGGCGAGTAAACACCTCCGTAAACTTGAAGTCCAAACATTGTTATCCTCGTTGTATCCAGATGCTCTCCCTCTGGTATTTGACGTCCTCGAAAGTATGGCCTGAATTCACCAAGCGGTAGAATTATAGTAGAAAATTCCTCACCTGATAGTGGCACCTGAACAAATTAGAATATGTGTATTCTTGGATTTATTAACTGACAATTTAATTCTTGGTATTTTGCTACCAATCATGTACAAAATCAATCTCCTACATATCTTCATTCTCCAGGTGATATCGACAAGGTGCTAATAATAACAATGATATTGCTCTAGAGGATAATTTCGTTGGTTGTGACCTTGAGTAAACTCTTGATGATTATCAATATTAAAAAATTTTGTCATTTTTTTCTCCTGCGAAAATTCAATATCCCAAGAAAATGAATGATCAGTGAAGAATAAACATTTTTTTTTTATCTATCATTCCCTACATT